CAAGGGACTATAACGAAGATGGAGAGACAAGTTGATCAAATCAACAGATCAACACTGCGGATCGCAGTGGAAAAAGCCGGAAATTTGCAATTTACTAAAGACGAAGGGAGAGAATTCCGATACGGAATCACAGAAATTCATGATAATGTGATTCGATCATGATGACATAATGATTACACTTAGCTCATGCTTCTGTTTTTTATTAGTCATTTCCTGTTCAATGATTAAGCAATTTTAATTTCGCCATGCATCCGTTCAGAAACAATATTACTATATTGTTTATGAACGGATGCATGGCGAAATTAAAATTGCCTAATGTAATGAGTAATACTAATAGTATTACTATTAGTATTACTGCATGAGTATTAGTCTTCAAAGTCCAAGGGGCTATATAAAAGTTGTCATCACACCGACAGTTGTGGCACCCGAAATACCTTGTCATATATCATGATCAGTCTCTCTGTAGTTTATAATATCACCCCTTACATTTTCGTTTTCGTACTCCGGTACACGGTACAGTGAGTGCAACATTGTAGCTCAAGACTGGACCTACATCCGTGGGCGGAAGCATGAAGAAGGAAACCAAAAATTAATATATGCTACAGTTCTCAAACTTACCTGTCGCTGCAGACCTAGACCGACTATTCTTCTTGTCCCACCAAGTATAGCCATCTTTCTCATCCATAACGATGCAATGCAAATCAAGTTATATCAAAATAAAGTTAACTACAATGACCAATTTCGAGGTAACCGATGTCGATTGTGATCTATGGTCGTGATGGTAAACTGTCACTGACACTGATGACGTACGATGACGTCAGACTCACAGGCACTTAATGGAACTTTGCTTAACGAATTATGGTAAATAAACACGAAATGTATTAGCTACCAAAGTCTCAATGTTTCTCTACTCTCTTTCGCCTATTATTGTTGATAATTTCCTGTAAATGCCGTTCAAATGCTCCTCTGCAACACACAAGTGCACCCCGATGATGAACAACTCCAGTTAAAAGTCCGCGCGCGCGCGTATTCGCGATCGATTACATGACTGGACGATGCTGCCACCTCGTGGCAGAAGCAGGCATTACAATAGATTAAATGACTGGACGATGCTGTCACCTCGCGGTAGAAACCGGCATTACAGTCGATTATATGCTGGACGATGCTGCCACCTAGTGACAGAAGCAGAAATTATCACTTAATTTTCAGTTGCTGCCACTTTTATACTAGCGGGTTGAACGTAATTGCACTATATTAAATTATAATTGTTATGTAATGTTAATTATATCCAAAATAGTGTCTCTAAGCCTTTTCTAAAATTAAAATAATTTTGTCTTTGTACCAGCGAGAATGTTATACTAATTATATCAGAATGTTAACCTATTTAGATCAGAATTTGATACAATTTATATCAGAATGTTATAGGGCCGGACACATAGGAGAGCACGGTAGAAGGAGGCTGAGCGTGCGACAATGGAGACAAAAGAAAGGGCGTTTTCATCACAAAATATAACTCCTCTGGTAAGATATTGCACATGCGTTAAAACAGTAACGCAGCCAGGTTATATACTGACTGGTATATGCAGCGGGAACCTTACATGCAAGGTCTGCTTCCTATTTCTGAAATGAGGTCTACTGATAAAATGTTATCACATAAATCTATGCTAGGATAACCCCTCTTCATTTTAAATTCATAATGTTTGCAAAATATTCTTCTTCTCGGGAGATATTGCGCATGCACGAGCACCATTTTAGACGTGCCGTACGACCAAAAAAAATATGGCAATATAGCTTGCTGAGAGAGAGAAGGGTGGTAAACTGAGGAAAGGTGGCAGGGAAGACAGTCGAAAGGCGATGGAAGGAGAAGGAGGCTGAGCGTGCGACAATGAAGACAAAAGGAAGGGCGGGCGGGAATAAAGTAGGAGTTTTGCACCCTACAGGCTAGGGAGCTCTCCTAACTATAAACACAGGTCTACTGATAAGGATTTATTACAGAAACCTATGTTGAGATATCCTCTGAGCATATTAAATAAAT